CCTATTCTCAACAGGGCTTGTCATTGTCAAGGTATCATGTTCGAACACAAGGAACCCTGTGACCAACAGGTGGCGCTAGAACCCCACAGAACATTTTTTCTCCATCTTGAATCACAGATTTTGTTTTTTAAGCCTCTGCTATATGTATTGTACCATCATCATGTTAGTTGATTGATTAGACATTTAGTTACAAAGCCATCATGCTTCAGTATGGACCTATAAGTTGTGTTATGCAAAAACACAAAACCTTTTAAGACTGAGAAAACTGGAGCCCAGTCTAGGGACATGACTGACTCAGGGTTTGCTGTGTTGTCAAGTTTCCAGACTCCAAGTTCAATGCCTAATGTGTTATTTATCACATCTTCTCCCCCTTTCTCCTCCTGGTGCTATTTTCTTACTTTAATTTTTTCCAGCTTTATTGAAGTACAACAGATAAAATCATAAAGATTGAAGATGTACACTGTGATGGCATAATATACACATGTATCATGAAATAACTGTCATTATGAAGCTATTTAATATGCATATAACCTTGTGTATTTATTTTCATGTGATTAAAAACATTTAAAGTGTGCCATCTTTATAAATTCCAGTATACAATAAAGTTAACTATAGTCTCCGCATTGTATGAATAGTAGGCATCTGAACTTACTGTTCATCTTCAGCTGCAAGTCCAGGCCCTCTGGCTGTAGGGCCTTTCCCATTCCCCGAGCGCTGAGCAGTCACACTATCTCTATTCTCTGCTCTTATGAGTTCACTTTTTAAAGATACTACTGAAAAGTGATGTTATTATAATCTTAGTATTTCTCTCATTTCACTTAATTTCATAGCCTGGAGTTTTATCCATGCCTTCACAAATGGCAAGATTTCCTTTAATTGTGGTCAAATAGTATTATTTTTATACATAACGTATATTTATGTATATCATATTTCATATACATAGGCAAACATACATACACACATTTCACCCTTCCTACGTCCATAACTGAGCACTTGGGTTGAATCTATATCCTAGCTATTGAATCTATATCTTAGCTGTCGTGAACAATGCTCAATGAATATGAGAGCACAGACATTTCTTCAAAATACTGATTTTGTACTTTTAAAAAAGATAACCATAACTAAAATTGCCAAGTCATATTGTCTGTCTTTAACTTTTGAGGAAAAGCTATACTGGTTTACATGATGGCTCTATATGCTCTATCTTACAGCTCTGCTCATAGAGCACCATCTCACCAAACCTTTCCATGCTCTCATCTTCTGAGAGTTGCATTCTGTCAGATGGGAGGCAATATCTTGCTGAGATTTTAATTTACATTTCTTTGGTGGTTCCTGATGCCAAGAACCTTGGCCATAGCTGTGTGTTCTTTTGAAAAATATCTACTCAGGTCCTTTGCCTATTTTAATGGGGTGTTTTATTTCTGTTCTTTGAATTCATTATATGTTTTGGGTTTAATCTCTTATTGGATATATGGTTTGCAAAAACTTTCTCTAGTTCTACAGGTTGTCTTTTCATTCCACTGATTGCTTCCTTCGCTGCATTGAAGCATTTGTGCTTGCTGTAGTCCTACTTAGTTATTTTTGCATGTACTCTTGGTGGCGTCATAGTCCAGATCATTGTCAGAAAAGTCTTTCCCCATGTCTTATATGTTCAATCTGAAAGTTTTTAATTCATTCTGACTTCATCTGGTGAGCATGATGAGAAAGTGTGTTGATACCTTTTTAAAAAATATTTAAAACAATTTTTATTTATGTGTATGTCTGTGTAAGTGTATGTCCTGTGTGATTGTGGATGCTCAAGGAGGCCAGAAGAAGGCATCAGATCCTGTGGAGCTGGAGTTACAAACAGTTATGAGCTGTCTGAGGTGGGTGCTGGAAACCACAGGATCCTCTGAAAGAGCAGCCAGTATGTTGAGCTTCTGAACCATGTCTCCAACCCTGATATCTTTTTAATCGTTGTCTGTAGTGTTATTTTTGTATAGGAGGGTGCCCAGTAAAGAAAGTGTCAACATGACTGCGCTATTGGGCAGGAGGGGTGTTATTGTGAATAAGAGAGAGAAAATATCTGAAGGCTGGAAGGGTCCAGATTAGAGAGAAAGAAACAGACTGGGCTAGGGAAGTGGGAGAATGGGTGACAAGAATGGAGAAAGCAAGAGAGCAAGAGATAGAGAATAGAGCATAGTGAGAGAGTAAGAAGATAGCTAGAGGGGGTCAAGAAAGGGGAGAGAGAGAGCATTTACGTGATGAAATTGTTTAAACAAAGCCATCCGGGAAAGCTGTCCAGTTAAGTTGGAGTCTAGGGACAGTGCAGAAACTGGGCTGGGATGTATAGTGGAGTCAGAACATCAGACTTCTACAACATTCAGTTAGCATCATAACTTGATGAGCATGTGTCATGGCATGTTACCATTTGAGATGTAGGAGGTACAATAACAACCAAGATAAAAATCTTTGTCCTTATGGGCCTTTACTTCTGTTTGGATAGATAAACAATAAATTAACAGCATCAAGAAAACCCCTATATAATACAAAAACGTGCTAAGAAGAAAAATGATGAGAAAGAAGGTAAGTGACAAATGTTGGAGGGATTCTCTCTTAAAGTCAGAGAAAGTTTCTTCAGTGGAGTGACTGACAATAGGGAAGACCTGAATGAAATGAGAATTCAGACACACAACTCTTAAGGGAAAGACTATTCTGAATTAGAGAAGTATCTGGTGCAAAGGTTTCCAAGTGAAAGCCAATGTGTCTACTAGATCACATGGGAAAGAGGCCAGGGTGATTGGAAAATGACAGGTCAGAGGAAAGTGGTAAGAGATGGGGTCTGGCAAGGTCATCCTGTAGGAAGGGATGGGAAGGACACTTGGATTTTATTCTAAGGTAGTGGGAAAGTCCTGAGGGCTTTTAATAGAGAATCACATGATACAGTATGCATTTTTAAAAGGAATGGGAAGCCTGTAACACCAGTAGTAGTTGGTCTTAATAATAAAAGCCCAGAATCAGATATTAAGGGCTGAAAGCTGAAAGATCGGAGAAGCAGAGCAGCCAGCTACTTGAGCTTTTCTATGAAATCCTCAGACTGAAAAGAGAGTGAGTTCCTGTTTCATCCCTCCTATATTTCTCTCTCTCTCTCTCTGCCCAGCCATCTCACTTCCTGTCTGTCTGTACAGACCTCCAAACCTCTATGGTTAACTAGTGGCTAGTTCTGCCCTCTTATCTTCAGGCAAGCTTTATTTGTTGAGCACAAACAAGTTATCACCACAGAAGCCTACTCATTAAGAAGCTAGCTGTATTGGAAGGGGGAGGATGATATGGCTTGAGTGCTAGGAGTAGGGATGAAAGGAATGGTAGATTTGGGCTATCTTGTATTTCATGATAAAGGAAAGGACTTCTTGATGCATTTGGCTGAGGAAGAGAGAATGATTACAGTGAAGTATTTTTCCTGGTGGTTGACTGGAGTAGTGTGATGACAAAGGTACACCTCCCTGAACTCTGAGTCACCAAGTGGTTTTAATGCCTTTCATCCTATTTCCCTCTCTTTGATTTAGAGAACATTTGTGAAGAAAATTCCTCTTACTATTTAAAAACCATACCGTTTAAAAAGCAGCCAGCAGAAGAGCACACCTATTTGTCTTGAGGTCTACCACAAACCCCTCTCCCATGATCACAGTTCTTGCTTAGATGCCTTTCCAATGGGAAAGAAAGCCTGTTTCATTCACTCCCCTCTTTGTTACAGCTGTGATTTTCTTCTACTTCTGACACTGGACCTTGTATAATAATTTTCTATGAATCTGTCTTACTGCATTCTGACCTTGAGGGAAAGGGCTGTTGCTATGGATTATAGTCTTCATGTAGTATGGCCCAATGGCTTTCAGCATCCACTCCCAGTTCCTTCTATGTTTACTTAACTTCCTTATAACGAGAGTGCTGGATGTGCATTAGTGTTTTTCCAAGATGGGGTACAGGACTTGTGGAGGAGATAGAGCTGCCAAGACTTAATGACCATCTTAATGTGGTAGCCAATAAGTGGTGAGAGTGAAAAGAAACTGACTGGTAGAGAAGAGAGATGAAAATTAGGTTTAGATGAGCAGAAAAGTTCATTTGGCTGTTTATTGTTTGTTTCTAATGATTTCTGTTATAAGCATTCAGAAACATAGAGAACAAATAGGGTTTAATTTGTTTTGAGGCATTGTCTCATTCTGTTTTTCATATTGGCCTGAAAATTACTATTAGGCTAAACTGGCCTAGAATTTGCTAAGGTCTTCCTGTCTCAGCCTTCTGAGTTTTGTGATTACAAGGACAAACTGCCATGCTCAACTTCATAAAGATATTTTAGAAAATAAGAAATGAGGTCTTCTAAAATTTTTCATTTTATTTTATATGTATGAGTATTTTTCCTGCATATACTATACACATTATAGGTGTACCTTGTGTCTGCGGGGATCAGAAAAGAGTTTTAAAGCCTTTGGAATTGGAGTTATGGATGGTTATGGGTAAATGGACATTTCTTTCCCTCCCAAATAACCATTTAAAGGCTTATATTAATTATAAAGCTCAGTCGATAGCTCAGGCTTATTACTAACTAGCTCTTACATTTAAATTAGCCCATTTCTCTTAATCTATGCACAGCTTGTGGCTTTACCTGTCCGCTAGGATGTCTTGTTTGCCCAGCAACTGGATGTCATCGTCTCTCTCCTCCCTTCTTCCTGCCAGCATCCTCTTAGTCAGATTTTTCTGCCTAACTTTATCCTGTTCAGCTATTGGTCAGTCAACTTGTTTATTAAAGCAATCACAGCCACAAATCTTCAGTGTACAAAGGAATTATTCCACGGCAGTTATGGGCCAACACATGGGTACAGGAACCAAAGCCCTGAACTCTACAAGAATAGCAAGTGCTTAGCTGCTGGACTATCTCTCCAACCCTAAGAAATGAAGATTTATTCTTAGAAAATGTCCATAAGTGGTCATATTTCCATATTAGAGAAAGGAAAAAGCCATCAATATCATTGCTCACCAATCATTTATTGAAGTTTTAATATAATTTTATATTCTACACATGGTCTTTGTTGAAAAGGTTTCCAGAAATGATAGTTTGGGTTACCAGGGATCTTCAAACAGAGGAGATATACTTTCTGTCTATGTGATGGATTAGTAGGTGTCTGGTCAGCTCTCATGACCCATCAATAGGACCTGAGGCTTCAGAGATATTAGTAACAGAAAAGCTCTCTGTGATCTCTATCTCTCCTAAAGGCTTCTCAGTGTGCTTTATCAAAATCTAGACTATGAAGCTTGTGGTTCCTGATATTTTACCCAAATCCATTTCTTCAAGTGTAGTATAAGTCTTCAGTGTACCTTTTCCTGTTTCTAAACTTTAGGGAGAGTGTTCTGCCATTCAATGATTCAATTAAGTAACACCTAAACTGAAAACAAACTAGGAATGATTTAAACCCACAAAGTGATCAAAATGGAGATTGATTAGTTCACCCAATTTACTCCACCCAACCAAATAACTCTAGAATTGCTACTCAAGGAACTGAACTTTCAAAAAACGAGTACTAGATTGCTCTTCAAAAGCATTCTTATAGGTAGATAAGAAAGAGAAGGATGACATAAAAATTCAACCTTTTAAACAGAAGCAAAGATGAATTGGCATGTAGGTTTCTTCATTACCCCTGGTGCTCATGTAGCCTAGTACTGATATACTGCTTGCTCTCGTACGTAATCATTGAGGGGGTTGGGGGAGTTAGCTGTTTTGGTAGAGTGGTTGCCCTGTTGTTCTCTTCTTTGGGACCTCCCACCTCTGTGGGTTTGATGGAAATGTCTTCCCTCAGATCCCTGGCACTGGTCATCTTCATTCTTGTGGAATCTTTCTTTGTTGGGGAAGCTTCTGAATCGGTCTTGGGATCCTTGATACCTCTCATTTTCTTCATGAGTTTGTCTATTCCATTGTTGATGATGATTTTGATCTTTGTCTTTCCTCTCATAGTTTTGCTCATCTTCATGGGTTTGTCTACCATGTCGATGATCTTGGTTTTCTTCATGAGTTTGCCTGTGTTGTCTTTTCTGGTTCTGCTTGTCTACATAGGTTTGTGTATCCTTTGTCTGATGGCTTTGTTCATCTTCATGGGTTTGCATCTCATACAGACTTTCCTGATCCTCAAGACTGTGTCTATCCCAGAATTGAGGATGCTCTTTCTCTTCCCAGTGGCTCTCCTCACTACTCTGTGATTGCCAGTCATACTCGTTGTGGGAGTGTGGCTCTTCTTGCTGTATCTGAGCTAAGAGTTTGTGTTGATTATCCTTTTCAAGCTTCCATGCCTGGTGGTGGGTTTTCTGATCCCTTCTATCCTGAAATCTCTGTCTCTGGGTTTGGTTCACTTCTTCTCTTGAAGTCTGTTGACTTAGTTTTCCTGACCCTCCCGATTGTTCAACATATGAGTGTCTTCTTGTTTCATCAGTTCCTTGGAAGTACCTGTTTTGTCCTTGAAGTTCAGTTTTCCCAATCCCTGACTGCCCACAGTGATAACTCTGACCTTCTCTGCTTGTCTGACCCTGCTGAGAACTCTGGCCTTGCCTGTCTGTCTGACCCTGGTGATAGGTCTGTCTGTCTGTCTGATGCCAACATGAACTCTGGTCTTGACTGCCTGTCTGACCCTGGTGATAGGTCTGTCTGTCTGTCTGATGCCAACGTGAACTCTGGTCCTGATTGCCTGTCTGACCCTGCTGAGAACTCTGGCCTTGACTGCCTGTCTGACCCTGGTGATAGGTCTGTCTGTCTGTCTGATGCCAACGTGAACTCTGGTCTTGACTGCCTGTCTGACCCTGCTGAGAATTCTGGCCTTGACTGCCTGTCTGACCCTGGTGATAGGTCTGTCTGTCTGTCTGATGCCAGCGTGAACTCTGGTTTTGACTGCCTGTCTGACCCTGCTGAGAACTCTGTCCCTGACTGCCTGTCTGACCCTGATGATAGGTCTGTCTGTCTGTCTGATGCCAACGTGAACTCTGGTCTTGACTGCCTGTCTGTCCCAGCTGAGAACTCTGGCCTTGACTGCCTGTCTGACCCTGGTGATAGGTCTGTCTGTCTGTCTGATGCCAATGTGAACTCTGGTCTTGACTGCCTGTCTGACCCTGCTGAGAACTCTGTCCCTGACTACCTGTCTGACCCTGGTGATAGGTCTGTCTGTCTGTCTGATGCCAACGTGAACTCTGGTCTTGACTGCCTGTCTGACCCTGCTGAGAACTCTGGCTGTGTGTCTGATCCTGGTAAGAATTCTGTCTGTCTGTCTGACCCTGGTGAGAGCTCTGACCTTTTATTCCTGTCTGACCCAGCTGAGAACTTTGGCTTTGTCCGCCTTTCTGACCATAATGAAAATTCTGTCCTTTGTTCTTTGTCTGACCATAATGGAAACTCTGGCCTTGTCCATCTGTTTGACCATATTGGAAACTATTCCCTTGTTTGTCTGGCTGACCATAGTGAGAATTCTGGGCCTGTCTGTCTGTCTGACTGTTGCCTGACTTCTGATGAAGCTTTCCATATTGTTCATAAGAACCAGGTTGTTGTCGACTGGTTTGACTAGAATAAGAATCTTGCCGGAATCTTCCAGACTGGCCATGGCTGCTTTGTCGTCTAAATGTTTTTGACTGGCCATAATGAGAAACCTGAGCTGGGTTCTCAGACTGATTTAAGGCAAAGATATATCCTTGGCTTTTGGGCTGGTCATTGCTAGATTTATAACTCAGACTTTGACCAGAGCTAGAGTGTTGATTGTCTATCTCAGACTGATCAGAGCTATAATCTGTGTCTTGTCTCTCAGAACAACTATGGTAGGAGTCCTGATGGAATTTCTCTGACTGACCATGGTGGGAATCCCTGTCTTGTCTCTCTGACTGACCATAGTGAGAGTCTGTATCATGTCTCTCAGAGTGACCGTGGGAGTCCTTATCTTGTCTCTGAGACTGATCATGTTGGACATCCTGACTCTGTCCCTCTGACCAGCTGTGGTGAGAGCTCTGCCCATCTTGTCTGCCCATGTTTTCTGGAAACTTGTGGCTCTGCATTCCTTTCTGACCCTGTTCTTTCTGGGAGGAGGTTCCAGCTCCACACACCTTACTATCGAGCTTACGATGGCAGGCTTGGACCAATTGGAAGACCAACAAGAGGTATTCTTGAAAATCAACATATCCATTTCTGTCTCGGTCCAAGTGTTCCAGAATGATTTCCACAGTGTCTGGGTCATTTGGTCTCTGTAACAAGAAAGAAAAAGGAAATGTTCCTTTATGGATGCTGAATATACAATATACAAATCTGTCTTAATGCCCCAATCCACTCTCAAACAGGCTGTCTTCCTTCCTTCCTTCCTTCCTTCCTTCCTTCCTTCCTTCCTTTCTTTCTTTCTTTCTTTTTTTTTTTGAGAAACCATTCATGTGCAAAGGCTTGGTTCTGGTTCTGGTCCTAGTCTTTGATCAGCTCATCCTTTGATGAACCAATTCGGGTATGACCACAGGGCACAGACAAATGTATTAACAACTAATTTGAGTCATTATCTTTTACATGGTATAGCCCACATGTTTATATACCTCTTTGTCACTACACTGCGGCATTCTTAAAGGAAAAGAAGTTAGTTTTATTCATGTTTGTATCCTTAGTAACTAGAATTGTACCAGTATGGAGCAGGTACTCAATGAATCCTTCGTTAACTAATGAATAAATACATGAGGAGGTGTATGCACAGGATTGCAGATAGAAAATATGAATGGAAAGTTTTAAAAAGTTATTTCCCAATACTTTGAAGTTGTCCTGTGTTTTGTTCATTTACAAAGGTGTGTGTGTGTGTGTGTGTGTGTGTGTGTGTGTGTGTAAGAACTACTGAGACTCAGAGACTTGGGTGTGTGTGTATGAGAGAGAGAGAGAGAGAGAGAGAGAGAGAGAGAGAGAGAGAGAGAGAGAGAATGCATGTATAAAAACTACAAAGGAGCTATCTGAATTAGAAGATGCTTACCAGTAAGTACATTAATGGTGGGGAATGACCAATAAAACACAAATATTACTAAGATATTCTGGATACAGACATCAGGCACATGCATTCCACTTCACAGGATCAAGAATCTGTGTATCTTACCCGAAGGATGTCTCCAAACTCAGTGAGAAGCAGCTGCTTCAACTCCTCCTTGCTCAGTAAAGCGTGCTTCCCGTGGTGTTCAGCATATTTCTGGAATACCTTACTCACATTGAGTATGCTGTTAAGAAGTTTAGGCATTCTGGCAAATACAGGTGAATCTTTAAAAAGGAAGAAGCAAAGAAAGGAGATTTTGTTTATGCTTTGGATGAAGACAGTGTCAGCATTTCCAGAGAGTGGTTTCTTGGGTTTGGGAAAGAAGTTTAAGAAACCATAGAGTCCCTTCTTTGTCATAATTTTAGTCATTATGTGACCAACACTCGGGCTCCAAATATCATATATGATCATGACAGTGATTCAAAACAGTTTTTCTTTTCTAGAAAAAGGCAAATTCTTTAAAAAAAATTAGACATGTGTAATAGATAAAATACATGCCTTACACTCTACTTTGGGTGGAAGCTGCTTGGCTGAGACTCTCTTGTAAGAACAAAAATGAAGAAAGGTTAGCCCAAAGAGGATGGGCCAGAGGTGAGCACAGTAGTATGTAATTTTCTAACAATGCCTGGTGAGAACAGGAAATGCATGCCATCGAAGAGGTATCTATTTTCTAAAGTCTCCTTTAAGCAAGGAAGAAGGTAAAATATCCCTTTCAGTGGTCCAAGAAACCTTTCTGAGAAGTTAAATTCTAGAAAATTCTTTTACCTGCTTATTAAATGGAATCAGTTAATGAAAACAAAAGTTACAGAGAAAAATTGCAATTGGACACATTGCACATATGATAGACAATACATAGTCAGGTTAACATTGGCTATGTTGGGCAGTGGGGGGTGGACTTCTGCAATCTGTATACCAATATTCCTTCTTATGCTGCAAAAATTTTCTTTTTGGTTTTTCAAGACAGGGTTGCTCTGTGTAACAGGCCTAGTTATTCTGCAACTTGCTCTGTAGGCCAGGCTGGACTGGAACTCACAGAGATTCACCTGCCTCTGACTCAAGTGCTGGTATTAAAGGCATGTGCCACCACTGCCCGGGCATGGTACAAAATTCTAGTACCTGTGCTTATAGGCTTCTGAAAATGAAATGCCAACTGTAAAACACAGGCATACATTGATGCATGTTTATGTAAGTGACAAATAACAGACTGCATGGGACAAGCTGAGTCTTTTGTGACCATTTATTATAGTGAAATTGAGTATTGCTGAGTCCTCATTGTCCAGGGCCTTGCCTAACTTGTACAAAAGGTAAATACTCCTCTACAGAAAAGCCAGCTATCAATTAGTCACTCAGACGCTCAGTTTTGGGACATTGAGGGCCCACATTTCACAAATTTAGAGGTAAGCCACACTTGAATTCATTATATTCTAAGATAGAGCCATGAGAAGCAGCAGAAAGGTGCCCAAGAGTGTCACCAACAGGAAACTGTCTCTGCCATCCATACTCTTGGATACTGCTATTGCTCCAGCATGCATGTCTTACCTGCTTGAGGAAGAGTGAGCAGAAGATGCAGGAGCCAGGGAGGGTGGCAGAGGCCTGGAAAACCATCCTATTTATAGGGGTTTTAATTATCCTACTAAGTCATCCCAGGAGACACCCATTCAGTGCTAGGGCCTGAATCATTCTGGGCTCAACCCAGCTCAGCCCAGTCAACCCAGCTTGACCTCCGCAAACCGTTTGGTTTATTTACTTCCCCCATTTGCTCACAAACCTGTTTGTCATTGTAGTAGGTGACACTTTTCAAGTCTCAGCCCCACTTAATTAAGGGAGTGTGTGTACTACATGGTGCGTGGGTCAAAAAGAGAGGTTCCTGATGAATTGATCCTTAGAAATAGTTAATTGCCGAGGCTAATGGGGGTAGACAACAGTTAAATCATACCAAAGAAAGATGGGTATACATTCTATTACAAAATCCCACTCAAGTAGAGATCAGGGAGTCTATGCATTTGGTCAGGATATAATTCTTGGAAAATATGTCTTAAACTTCTTTTTTTTTCTTGTAAAAATAGATATTCGTATATCCTACTGACCTATTTTTAATGGCTATTCTTTTCTGCAGTCTAGTAGGAGAAGTAGTTGTATGATCAGTTTTAGGGACATATTGGGTGGCAGGTGATGAAGGTAGCACTGACACTTGAGTGTTTTCTGTTGTTGTTTTGTTTTGTATTTTGTTTTTTTGTTTTTTTTTTTTTCAGGACAGGGTTCAGGACTGTGTAGCCATGGCTGTCCTGGAACTTATTCTGTAGAACAGACTGGACTCATTGAACTCAGAGATCCACCTGCCTAAGTCTCCTAAATTCTGGGTGGAATTAAAGTTGTGTACCACCACCACCCAGCATGGCACTTGAGTCTCTAAGTCTTACTAAAAAGCTGGAGTTGGGGGACAACCTGGAAGCTTATGATGTCTGTGAGATAGAGAGATTGTTCAGGACCTGGGCCTCCACTTATTTCCTATCTCTGTAACACCTGTGACACATCCCTGAAGTGTCTTGGTCATAGAATGTTTAATAAGTCTTCAAGGATTAAGTGAATTTATGAATTGTGGACACATTGGAGAATCTCCTGTAAGGAACAAAGGGCTTGAGATTCACCTGCCTTTCTGCTTTGTCTCACAGGTGCCAGTTGTATATAATTACAGATGCAAAATATAATCATATCAAATAATTGATTATGTGATTATATAATTAGTTACACAATTGATTATATAATTGATCCCCCAGTCAGTTATTTCTAATGACACTTGTTATTATTTACTATGTCTTTAGGGATTTTGCAAAGGAATCATAAAAGTTCAGAAAGTTTTACTAATTGGACTAAAGAGCCTTCACATAAGAAAGGTTTTGAAAGACCAGTGTAAGACATGCTTAGTGTTCAGTAATTAGTAAATCTAGCTGGAATCCTTTGGGGCTGGTCCTGGGGTTTCTTCAACTCCAGTTTTGTAAGCAAGATTTACATTGTTCTTTGGAAGAGAAGGGAAGAAAGCAAAGACCAAAGTTGCATAGTTGAGAACTCGCACACAACTTAAATTAGCTTGGGTGCCTAAAGTGATAAAAGAGTAGAGGTAGAAAATTTGGGAGCTGAAAGAGAAATTGAGCTTTTGGGTCTTAATTTATAGATGGGGAAATTGAAGTTTCTAGGTATCCAGAGTGACCTGCTGAAGGACTCACAAGGCTGACAGAAGCCAGGCTAATGTACATTTACCTCCCCAGCACAGTGCACTCTCCTTTCCCCCTCCCTTTCCCTCCCCTCCTCTTTTTTCCCCTCTCCTCTTCTCCTCTTCCTTCCCTTTCCTTCATTTCTTTACTTCTGTCTCTCTTTTCTGAGGTATGATCCCACTATTTAGACCAGGCTAGCCTCGAACTCGTGGCAGTCATCCTGTCTCAGTCCCTCAGTTACTAGGATTACAGGTGTGTTACCACACCTGGATAATATGCACTTTATGCATATTTTATGCATTCTATGGAAGATATGCTTATAGGCCAGAGCTCAACATTAGCTGTCTTCTTCAGCTGCCCCCACCTTACTTTTTAAGACAAGGTCTTTCACTGAATCTGAGCTCACTTCTTCTAAAATTAATTTTTATTTAAATTAAAATTAATCTTATTTTACATACGAATCCCAGTTCCCTCTCTCTCCCATCCTCCCATTACCTTCCCCATTCCATCCCCCCATTCACCCCTCAGGGAGGGCAAGCCCTCCCATTGGGGATCATCAAAGTCTGTCACATCATTTGGGGCAGGACCTAGGCCCTTCCCCATGTATCTAGACTGAGAGAGTATCCCTCCATAGGGAATGGGCTCCCAAAGCCCATTGGTGCACTAGGGATAAATACCGGTTCCATGGCCATAGGCCTCATAGACTGCCTAGGCCCCCCAACTGATACCCACATGCAGGGGGCCTGGTTCGTTATTATGCTGATTCCCCAGCTGTCAGACTGGGGTCCTTGAGCTCCCACTTGCTCAGGTCATCTGTTTCTGTGGGTTTCCCCAGCATGGTCTTGACCCCTTTGCTCATTGCTTCTCTCTCTCTACAACTGGATTCCAGGAGTTAGGCTCAGTGCTTAGCTGTAGATCTCTGCTTCTGCTTCCATCAGCTACTGGGTGAAGGCTCTATAAGGACATTTAAGGTAGTCATCAATCTCATTATAGGGGAAGGACATTTAAGGTAGCCTCTCCACTATTGCTTAGATTCTTAGTTGGGGTCATCCTTGTGGATCCCTGGAGATTTCCCTAGTGCCAGATTTCTCCTTAAACCCATAATGGCTCCTTCTATTAAGGCATCTCTTTGCTTGCTCTCCTAGAAGGAGTGTGGGGAGGAGAACATGAGGAATTTTGTTGTTGTTTTTGAGACAGGGTCTCTTTACATAGCCCTAGAATTTACCATGTAGATCAGGCTGGCCATGAACTCACAGAGAACTCCTAAGTGCTAGGATTAAAATTGTGTGCCACCATTTTTGCTAACTTGCTGACCAGCAAGCCCCAGGGCTTCCCCTGCTCTGCCTCCCCAGCACTGGGGTTATGGGTACATGCTGCTGTGCTGGATTTTTGCATGGATGCTGAGGATCCAAAGTCAGACCCCCATGCTTATGTGGCAAGTACTTTGTCAACTGAGCTGTCTCCTCAGCCTTCCCAGTTTTCATTCTTAAAAGCCATTAGTTTGGTGTTGGAGAGATGGCTCAGCCCTTAAGAATACTTGATTATCCTCAAGAGGACTGATTTCAGTTCCCAGCACCCATATGGTAGCTCACAACTATCTGCAACTATCGTTCCAGGGTATCTGTGTCCTCTTTTGGCCCTGTGTGCACCAGACATTCATGTGGTACACAGATGTACATACAAAAACACTCATACACATAAAAATAAAAGTAAATAAATCATTTTTAAAAATCTTTTAACCCCACTAGGCAGTAGGATACATAGGAAGAAGGGTAGGTTTGGCCAGTTAGAAATAATTATATTTGCATGTCTATAATGTTAGCACTAGGGAGGCTATGGCAGGAGGATCACAAATTTGATGCCAGCCTAGGTTTCATAGTAAGATTCTTTTTTGTTGTTGTTTGTTTTGTTTTGTTCTGTTTTTGTTTTTGTTTTTGTCTTTTTTCCCCAAGACAGCATTTCTCTGTAGCTTTGGAACCTGTCCTGGAACACACAGGAGGCATAGTAAGATT